CTTTTTCCAATATATTTGATATTACAGAGAATGCTATTATGAGCATTTACGCTCATCTTTTTTGTTCTGCTGAATTATAACCACAGGATATAATCCTAGGGACAGAAATACTGAGTAAGAGTAAGGATATTTTATGGTTTTAAATACCATAAATTAATATTGCCATACTCAATTCCAAAGTGATGATTTCGCTGTAACATTTTCATTTTCTGCCTCCAGTTATTAATAATTAAGTAATACTTTGACTTAGTTTTAATAAACATTGATTTAATTGCCCAAGAAGCTAATCAAGTTTTCTTCAGTGTATTTAAATGTGCATGTTTCTTCATGAGTGGCTCTCCTGCTTATTCTCTTTATATTGACGTTTTGGTGTTTTGCATGCAGATTTAAATAGGCTCTTTATAGAGTATGGTTCTATACTAGGTGCTGCATAACTTAACTTCTTTTTTGAATGAGCTAACATCTATTTTAATCCCTTGCTTAGTTTTTTTTAATTTCACCATATTGGAAAAATCACACAAGATTAACCTTGAACTCTTGAATAGAGGCAGTTGTGTCCTTTTTTAGCTGTATTCTGGCACAGTTGTGGCATCGTCTCTCTGAAGCCACTATCACTTATACCTCTGGGAATTGGAAATTGAATTACTGCCCTGCTTGGGGTAACCCACAAAGACCGGCTTCAAAGATGATGGTTTAAGTTTCTATCCCATTCAAAGCAGTGGTAGGCACAGAAGCAGAGCACAGTGAGTCATTCTCATCCTTTTGTGGGCACTCGGCTTAACTGCATGTCACATCTGACAGCACGCAGCTATTAGATGAAGGAACATCAAGTGCTATGTTAGCTAAATACCAAACTTGGAACCCAACTTCTAGACTATCAGAGAGGACATACACACATAGCTATTTCTTTACATTGACTATTCACCAGGGTGCAATAAACCATAATAAATGCTCTGTACAGAACCCCAACGAGAGCTAAAACACATATTGCTTTTTCACTCATTCGTTTTCGTTAAGAGTGCACCCTTTTCACTTGCTCGGATGTTATGGTGGAAAGTACCTTATAGATAACATTTGCCACTCTCCATTCTCCTTCTCCCCTTCCTCTCTCACACATCTAATAAGTCACTTGTTCGTTCCAGATTCATACATTTGGATTGTTGTGTTGTCTTAGTTCAGGCTCTTATTGCCACTCACCTAGATCATTTTAATTTCTCATAGTGCATCTTTCTGCTACTACTATTATCTGTCTTTTATTCCCTATATTAGTGAGAACATTTCAACTACAAACACTCAAACTATGGTAATGAAATAAAAACAAAAATATTTTATTGAATCAGAGAATTGGCTTCAAACAGAGCTAGAGTTATGGGTTTAAGTGATGTCATCACAATTATGTCTCTCTCCATCCCTCAGCTCTGTTTTTTCACCACTGGTTTCCTTTGGAGAGACTCTGTACACGGAGGGACAAAGATAGCCAAAGAGTCACAGGCTTGCATAAGGCGTTCAGTCAGAAATCCCAGAGGAAAAACAAAAACAGAAACAAAACATGATGTTCTTCTCTCCTAGCACATACATTATCCATCCATACCACCCCCAGAAGCCTTTAGTAAACTCTCTTTTTGTCAGGATCTATTCTTGGACCAGTTTGATAAGCAAACTTGTCCCATGTGCCCAACCACATGGTAGAGAGACAGAGATTCTTGTTTGTCAGCTCCGCCAGAAACACAAGGAGCAGTATTCAAAACAAAGAGTGGTGGAGCCAACTGAAAATTAATAGAATTTCACTTAATATGGCAATTAGAATTATCTTTTAAAAAAGGAAGCTATAATTATGTCTCTTGTTTCCTGCTAAAAAAATACAAAACCTTCTGTGACTTCCGAGTTCTCATGGGATGAAGTTCAACCCTGTAGAACCCTCGAGCCTGGCAATGGGTACGTAAGACTAAGGACTCATCCTACCTTCCCTGTCATTTACATCATTGCCTTAATATTCTTCATACACTTTGCTCTTTTAAGTTTCTATAATTAATAATGCTGCAATCTCTACCATGGAAGCCTTAATCCCTTTTCTCTGAACAGCTTAAATGCTGCTTTCAATTCCCAGTTTCAATTTCACCTTTTAAGTCTTTCTAGGCTCCATCAGTCAATCGCTAACCCCTCCATTGCTATAGCACGGGGCACTGGTGTTGCTTACACTCTTAATCAGCTTGTTTCATAATTGTCATTTTGTTTGTTTCTTACCCAAGATTTTGAGTGGCTTGAGGCTAAGAACCACTTCTTAATTGTCTTTACTTTGTGCACCACCCATTGTCCTGTAGCTCACATCAAATGCCAGAACAAAGACATGTTTATTAACTGAATGGATGTATGAAATAAGATCCCAGATTTTTGTGGTGAGAGGTTATTGAAAGTCTAATGTTCCTAACCAAGTGAATTTAGATCCTTAAGAATAATTTATGCTAAGAGAACTCATCTAATAATGCAGCCCAACAGGGTGGCAAAAGTATGTTGGCACAGTAACTTATCTGCAATACTGAAGACTTTTTTGCGGTTTGGAAGCTGAAGGCATTGTGCAGTTTGAGAGCATTACCAAATGGTGGAGTAAAACATTATATAACAATCCAAGAGATTATAGGCCTGAATAATGCAGTATACTAAAAGTATTTCCTTCTGGGACTTGGATCCCTTGGTTCTGATCCAATAGTCTATATTTCTACCTATTTATGGGTGAATGGTTAAGACTCACACATTTTAAATAAACTAAGGTATTATGTGCTCATTAAATAATATGTTTGAAATAAAATTCTAATCTCTTTCATAATATTTCCATCTCATGAACAGCCACAAAATGATTATTAGAGAACAGAAGATGACCATTATCAAGACTTCAGCTATTATGATTAAGTACATTCAGAAACTTTTCACTGTGTGCCCTCTTTCTCAAAGTCCCCACTGGCCCCCTCAATTCCATACCAAAGAGGAAATTATCTCCCCTAAGAATCAGGTACAGAAGTCAGAGAATTCTAGGATACACTAGTCACACACAAAACATGTAGTTACATAGAAATTGCTTATATTTTCTAGGTTCTGGCATCTATAGATCAACCCTGAATTAGAGTTTTGGTGGAAACAGTGACACCTACTACAAAAATGCCCTTGTGGGTACCACCACAGGAACCAAATATGAGCAAGACTTCAGCTGTATACACAGGTGTATGCATTATTGCAAAAGACCATACATAAGACTTTTGGGGTTATAAGGAGGTGCAAAGTTATCACAGTGCCATGGGAAAAGATAAAGCTCTAGACTTTATGTTTATGAATTACATAACAGCACTTATGAAAATCAGTTTATGCTCTTAACCAGCACCAGACAATGCTAACTCACCGTGCAAGAAATTAAAGGACATACCCTAAAAAATAAATTAAATTCAGTTTCCTCAGATTAAAGACATGGTGTTTGTCAACAAATTTATAGGAAGTCAAATGCCATTTGGGGCTTTTGTCTAACATATTAAGTTATCCATCAAGATGGTGGTAGCATTCAGAGCTCCACAAAACCTAAAGAGCCCTCTTTCAGAAATCAGATGTGTTCATCTGATATCTCTATCATATTTCAGATGTGTTCTCTACTGACAAAATCTTTTTTTTTAATATATATATTTTAACCAAGAAGTGTATCCTTCCAAAAGTTTTGAATATATAAAGTCTTAAGGCTAGAAAGTGCCTTAGAGATCATTTTGTTTTACTGTTCTACTTTGCAAGCTAAAAGGGTAGGAAAAAAAGAAATTCATTAGATATTACACACTCTATTAAAATCCTGAATACTCATTATTTGGACCAAGTGGGAACCCAAGGGTGGGTTGCCTTTGAACCCAGTCCCCCTGCAGTGATAACAACCAGAATTATTAAGAAGTTTTCAGGCTTCCCTAGTTTCTCAGTTAGCATTTTAAATTTTCTGTAGTGGTTTATAATTTTCAGAAATGTGGGACAAATAATCAGCATTTTGGGGGGGAGATGAGACAGTCTATAGGTATACAAAATAGATACCTATATACTTTTTTGAACACTAAATATTTCAGCGCCCATATTTTAGGGTTCCTCTTTGAACTATAGATTATTGCTCTCATTATTATTTATTTATTTATTTATTCTTCTTCATGGGAAACATATTTTGCCCACATTCTTCTGTTTCATATTCTAAATTAATCTGAAAGAAGATTCTGATCTACATTTTTGGCTCTTTAAGGACCAGATTTCTTGATATAGTCTCAAGTGTTAGTTCTTTGATCTTTCACCGAAGCCTGCTACTCACAGAGGGAGTTATTGTGTGTGCTGGAGTTGGGGGGAAAGTGTGCTTTGAATAAACCTACTTCTGTTCTATGTTACTGCTTAGATCTTTAGCTTATATTCCTTAGTATTTTGTAAACCTGTTTCAGCTGTTGCCAGCATTACTCACTGATAGCTAAAATGCATGTAGGGAGGTGTTTATGAATAGTGGAGAGTCTTTTATTCATTTTCAACTTACACAATATTATAATCAAAAATATTTTTAACAAAGGTAGAAAAGAAGATCAGGAACACTTCTGATAATGGGCGGTTTGAAGTTGCTATTTCTGCATGGAGAAATGTTTAAATCAGATTTAACAATAATTTCCACCAAGCTATTTATAGTTGAGATAATTACTTAAAATGTCATGTGCTCAATTATTGTTTATATCCTTAATTAAAATGAGAATTGAATATAAAATAAAATAAAATGCAAAAAAGGATTACTTTATTTCTTTGCTTAAAATTGTTCAACAACTCTTTGGCATTTATAAGATAAAGTACAAAATCATTAATAAGGCTTATAAATTATTTTAACATGGCTTTTTAAAAGAAATATTCTTACTATGGAATAAATATTTTTCAAATGAAATAAAATAATCAAATTAACTGTCTAACTAAAACATAATGTTATCAATTTAGTGTGCTGAGAGCAGCATGTTAAAAAATAAAATGTGGTAGAATATAATATATTACAGTGTCTATGTATAGTAAGTAAGTGTCAATATAATGTGGAAAAATTCAATTATGCTATAAGATATATGAGATATCATATATTATATTATGACATAAAATATATCACATCATACATTAGTTCAAGTATTTGCTTAAAGAATAAAAGTTGCTTAAAGTAATTATCCCTGAGAAATTATTGTCACAGGGCTAGACATCCCAATAGTAGATTCTTGAAGGAGAAGCAGCATGAATCAGATAAAGAACAGACTTCTGAGGAGGAAAGCAGGGCTCTGTCAGCAGGGTGCTCTTCTCAGGCATCTTTCCACATCCAACTGCCATGGTCATGGTTGGGTTATGATTCATCGGGTCCAGCATTTTTACGATGAAAGCACTTCATGAAAACAGTTTACAATTCTGATTTCTTAGAAAGACTCCCAAGTTTAGAATCACAAGCCCTTTTCAATTCTGTGCTCTAACGCACTTCATAGTGATGTAGTAGGGGAGCTACCTTTATATATCTTTTCCCCAGGCTCCTTTATGATGTTAGAAGATCTGTTGGAGTATCTTTTGCTTCTGTGTCTTGCTCTATGTTTGTTCTATTGTATTGCCTGAGCCTGTTCTGAAGCAAGTCAACCTATTAAAAGACATGGGATTTGAGGGAAAAAATAATTCATCCCTAATTTAGATATCTTTTATGGGTCAGCAAATGGTTGAATAGACAACTTGGGTTAATATATCATAGGAGTTACAGACTAATCAAATGGCTTGTGAAAGCTAGTCCGTGATTACTTAAGAATTATCTTCAAAACATTTCTAAAAAGAGTTAGTTTAAGTATATGCACCTACTACGGTAGACAAAATTATGTATAAAATTTACATACACTTGTGAAATTTTAGCTAATTACTGTGAGAAGGAAAAAGCCAGCTAATATACTAAAATATCTCTCATCAAGGCCAATGATTCTAAAAGATGATCAAAAGGTAAAGCTGCTTCTTGCTACTGACTTTTTTTTCATCAGTAGTTTGCAATGTATTATTAATCATTCCAATTTGGAAAATTCTAACATAAAATTGAGATACTGGATCAAGTAAAGAGAGCCCTGATTTGAGTTGGGAATCTAGGGAGGGTCCCATTTCCAGCCCCCAACACAGCCCTGTGAGCTTGGATAAGTAAAGGCACTTGGGTTCTCAAGTCCTCTCTGTTCCCAGCTGGGAAACAATGCTTGGACTACTGCCTTTGGACTACTACTACTACTACTAGGCCACTGAGGAGGCAAAACCTGTCTCCCTGGCAGGGGCGCAGCCCCTGCCTTCCTCACATCACCCTGCTTGGTCCCGGAGGATGGCTGGTTAGTCAATGATGGGTAAGACCCCTCAATGGCAGGGGCAACCAAAGACAGGCACAGTCACATGGGGGTCACCAGGGAAGGACTTGGGGGACATGGAGAAAGGGCAAAAGACCCTCACCCCTTGGCCTTGTCACGGCCAGAGTCCTCATTCTATCTAAAAGAAGTCTCCTTCTAACATAACATAATCTGTTCCAACAGATCTCCTGGCTGCTCTGCCCAGCTACCTGACCAGGTCAGTGAAACAATACTAAAGGCAGGTAGAGCCCTAAACTGGATCAGGCAATTTCTGGGAACAATTAGGCCTGGAAAAGGAATGCATTAAGTCCTATGAAACTTACTTTGCTAAGAATGCCAAGTTAGTGAGTACTGATGTTTAGGGTCAAGCATAGAATGCGATCAGTTTCCCAGGTTTCAGGGCCAAATGGGCACCACCCTGTCTACCAGACCCTGCCCTGAGACAAACCTCTGTATGTCTTCAATCATAGCCTTTTGACATTATTGATGAGCTTTGCATGCATGCTGTATATCCCTGTGCATATTGTTCTGAATAAAAGCCACTTTAAGATAAGGGCTTGAGGCATTCTCCACTAGAGGGAATCACTACCCCTTGTTCCTGGCAGACTGAGAAGTGTCTGGAATGATTTATTTTATTTTCCTCCATCCGCAGTGACCCAGGGGGACTCTGCATGGGATACGGTACCCCCCTCAGTTTCCTAGTTAGCAAAAATAAAATTTTATATAAAGTCACTAATCATCAGCGTCTATTACTAAAAGCAATTAGAGTTAGGCAGCTTTCTAGTTTCCCTGCAGCAATCTTGGTTTCAAAGTCTCTTGCTTTTTTTATGTTTCACATGTAGGTGGTAAAGCTGTAGACAGATACTTTTGCAATTAGGAATCACATTAATAACACTACATTTTGGGACATATAGAGAGGACTGAGTCCATAAATATAGTAATATATGATAAGTAATAATTGGTCAATGGTGACACACTTTCTCTTCTATAACACTGGGATAGGCCATATGCAAAGTGCTTAGTCATTATATAATGGTCGGGGTTAAATTAGTTTGATGCTAAAGTTCATAGTTAAGATCAACATTATTCTTTAAAAGACTCCCTCTCTAAAATCCTCTACTGTGCTGCCCCATTTCCCCCTTTATCGAATGCTTGGAGATATGTTATTATTGATATTACTGAGTTCCCAAAGCAAAGCTATTTTAGACTTAAGGAAAAGCTAAAGATAAGTCATGTATATAGAATTTGTTAGAAAAAGGATCCTATTGTTTTCTATACTCATACTAGACTATATGATATAAGAGGAAATTATTTCAAATACTTCATTAGATATTTATTGAGCATCTGCAATGTTCCAGGCAGTCTTATATGGGGTAATTTATAATGGCAAGAAAGTACTGGGATAGGTCACTCAGAGATTGTGACATACTAGAGAGAAATGATAATTAGGTAAATGTTCTTGACTGTTAAAACACTGATTTCTTCTGGAGGCAGGGATTAGACCTTAATGACCTTAGTAATTTGCTGTCATATAATTATGAGCTAGTTCTGTGTTTGTATGATAATTTTTTGTGTTTCTATGGTAATTTTTTTGAAGGAAAACCCTCATCACCGTTGAGTAAATGAGAACTCAAAACATTTCTTTGTTAGAAAAGAACTAGAAATACAGACAGACAAGGCTGCCTCAAGGTTGGTCATTCGGAAGGATCTTGCCAGTCTTGGCTCTTCTATTCTTTTATTCATGGAGCCAGACAAATCTTTCTGAAACGCAAATCTGGTTGTCACCTCACTGCTAAAACCTGGTCAATGGCTTCCCTTTGCATGCTGGATGCTAAAACTCAAGGCCTTCAGAATAAATTGTGAATGTGCTCCAGGGTGCAGACCTTGTTTACTTCCCAGCCTCACCTCTCACTTCCCTGTCCCCCTGAATTTCACCATATTACTTTATTTCTCTGAACAGAACTTACTCTCTTGTTCCTGAAAATTAGAGTATTAAAATGCTCTATTATAAAGCCCTTTCTCCTTCCCTCTCTCCCTTCCTTCCCCTTCCTCCTTCTCCCCTTCCTTCGAGGCAATTTCCTTTCTTTCCCTTCTTTTCCCTTTTTCTTTCTTCTTTTCTTTCTTTCCTTTCCTTCCTTTCTCTCTCTTTTCCTCCCCCTCTCTCTCTTTCTCTCTCTTTGTCTCTTTTTCTCCTACTTTCTTTCTCTCTTTCTTTCCTTTCTTCCTTCCTTCCTTTCTTTTCTTTCTTTCTTTCTTTCTTTCTTTCTTTCTTTCTTTCTTTCTTTCTTTCTTTCTTTCTTTCTTTCTTTCTTTCTTTCTTTCTTTCTTTCTTTCTTTCTTTCTTTCTTTCTTTCTTTCTTTCTTTCTTTCTTTCTTTCTTTCTTTCTCCTCTTCCCTCTGTCTCTTCACTTGCTTAATCACTACTTCAGGCCTTAGCTTTACTATGACTTTAAGAAAATATTCCAGAGTCATTAAGGCTGTTTAGACTCTCACAGCAAGTATGTAATGCCTTCTAGCCACACTAGGGTATCTTTGAATTTATCACACCCACTCAGTTATAATACAACTGTGTCTTGCTAGTCTTACACTATCAAAAACTAGTATAGCACGTGGCCTAAAAAAGGTGTATCAATAAATAATTATTAATTACATGAATAAACATTTGCCATGATCCTATGAGAATGATGCAAAAAAAAATCTGTTTGTGTACTAGGTACACAATTTATTATAAAGACAGAACACTTTGAATTAAGAAACCTAACGTTTGTTCCAAGAGAGCTGTGAACAGCAAACTCCAGAACAATTTAGAATCTCCCACAGCAACATTGATAGTGTGAGGAGATTGTTTAACATAACTCTGTAGCATAGTTCCCCTTAAGTACATGACTGAAAAAGTATCTGCTTCCACTTTTAGACACCTAGCTTCAGTCCAGTGTGCTGCCAGGTACATGCTGTCTCTTGCTTTGCTGCCTGTGATAGAGTTACACGCTCTGCATTGCATTTCATACTCTTGATTATTTACATAATCTCTCTGGCTGTGTCAATCAATTTACAGACCAAAAGGAATCCCATCTAAGCGTCCTAAGTCATATACTTGGCTGCCTCGCACAAATGTGTTTTACCTGGATTATGCCTGGCAGCACTAGTCCCCAAGTGGTGATCATTTCATTGTACTTAACACAAGGTTTCCCTAGAAACAGCAGGGGGGATACCTGAGGTACAGGGAAATCAAGCCTATTACGCATAATCATCCTTGATAGCTTGTCTTCTTTCATGATTTCTGACTTTAGAAGTGTATTACCATACAGGGTACTTAAAACTATATTGCAATTAACAGTTCCAGTGCCAGCCCCCTTTGAAAACTTCATACTCATGCCAAACTATCATACTGTGATCATTCCTGAAATATTAACTTTGAGAGGAAAGATGGTTTGTATTTTTCCCCCAAATTATGGAGTTTGTTAGATCTCTAAATATTTTGAAGGATAAGATGGAACACCATATTAACATTTTAAAATATATAAAATAAAAGTACTTGGATATTGCCAGAAGTGAACTGAGAAAGAAACTATTTATGAGTAGAGGGATACAGAGTAAATGTTGGTGAAAACAGTAAAATAATGATGGTGGCCGTAGTTCATTTATGTGTTTACAAGCTTATAGGTTAATAAAACAATACAGTACTAGAACATTAGAATATCTTAAAGTGTCAAGAGAGCTGACTACATTGTACTGTCATGCTTTAGATGAATGTTTTTATACCTAGATGAAGAGAAGTAAGAATGGTAGTAGTACATCAAGTGGTTTAATACATCAATGTCGTTCTATAGGAGACTTTTTACTTCTCAGACAGGAGCACTGAAGCAGACCTCACAAAGATGTTGTTGAGTACAGTTGACCCTGAAACAACATGGGGGTTAGAGATACCAATGTCCTGCACCGATGAAATTTCACATGTAATGTTTGACTCCCCAGAAATGTCAGTCGTCCCTCGGTATCCACAGGACACTGGATCTAGGACCCACGCGAATGTCAAAACCTACAGATGCTCAAGTTCCTTATATAATATGGTGCAGGATGATGCATACAGTTGGCCCTTGGTATCCACACGTATTTATTGAAAAAAAAAATCCATGTATAAATGGACCTGTGCAGTTAAAACCTGTGTTGTACAGAGGTCAGCTGTATTTTAAACATTCAGATTTTCCCATTTATAGGCACATGTTCCTAGAAACAAAAACAATTGTGTCTAATCAGAAAACCATTTTTCCCAATGTGATATTCAGGTAAGTCCTGGAGAAATTGCATTTCAAGGATGATCCAAATAGCCTTAAATACAGGTGCAAGTGGAGACTGCTGTTCACACGTAGGTAGAGTCTTGGGTACATGGATCAGAGCTGGGAGTGAGGCAGGGCACATGCTTTTAAGGCTGGTTCTATCTCTGTCTGACTTTGAGCAATTCTGTGTTGCCTTTCCCTACACCAATGGTTCTTAGACTCAGAATTGCCTGGAGGACTTCTTAAAGCATGAATTGCTTCTGTCAAACCCCAGGGTTTCTAATTTAATAGGTTGAGAGGGTCCCAAGGATTTGTGTTTCCTACCAAGTGCCCAGGTATTACTAAAGCTTCTTTATGGGATAGGCCTTGCGAACCCCTGCAATGTACACATCTTCCCATCTGCTTCCCTTTAGCTGGGATGGAAGTCGAAGGGTTACAGTGGAATGCATCGTGGCCCAATATGTTATGGTCTTTGGGTGATGCTGTGGGAGCAGTACATTCATAGGAATGGAACTGGGAAAGGAGGGAGAAAGAAGCACACATTTGGAACCAGCTCCCAATAGTCTCAGTTTCATTATTCTATGAACAAGATGAGCCTAGAGTTTGCAGGCAAAAACAACAACAAAAACAAAACAGAGTAGTCTAGGGAAGCATGAAGAATGTACCGGAAAAGTCCAATATATTCTCTAGTTCTCCATCTTTGCCCTTGCCCATACTATATCCTGGGGCTAAAAATGTCAACATATGTATAGGTGTAAGGTGTAAAGCTAACCTGCAGTTATCCTTCTAGTGAGAATATGAAGATCTTTCCTTGGATACAAAGTGACAACTCTCAGCAGCTTTGTGTTCAGGAAAAACAAAAGGGAACAAAAAAACAAGGTTGAATGTATTTCTTCAGTAAAGGGTCATGAAGAATTATTATGCTTTAAGTAGGATATTTTAAGATTTAAACATGAGTAGACATATTCTTTGTGATACATCTGAATGAATACTCACATTTATATGGCTAAATGTGGAATTATACATTGATGAAAAACATTTTCCAATAGGAACACTGAAATTAAAAAGATTTAGTTAGCTCATAAACTTGGGAAGAGTATCAAGATGACGCTTCTTCTTTATATTCTGAAACTCAAATTGTATTATAACTATTGCCATTAAAATAAAAATATGTGAAACAGAATGTTTTTCTCTTCCTTATTACTTATAACAAGCAGAATTACATGCCAGTATAAAAATTGTCAGGTGTATTAACAAACTTCTGTGATGGGATTTCTCCTCTAAAAGTTATTTTCTTTTGACGAGATGAAGCTGCATGCTTTCCTTATTGGCACATCATAGAACATTCCTTTGTTGCTACAATTCATTGCTCCTTCAGGGAGTCACTAGATAGTTCAGCATATTTACAGGGGCATGAATTACACTGCTGAAATAAATATTACAATGCTTCTCTATTCAGAGGACCTCAGAAACAGGATTATAACAAGACATCTGTTTTCTCTGAAGAAAATTACATGGGCCCTCTAATTCTCAATGGGAGGGAGGACAATTTGTGAACCTCGAACAAGTTTGCGTATTTTTTTACCCATTAAGGTAATGAAACTTATCTCTAAAAAGTGAACATTCTCTAAAATACATGGGAAGAATATTAAAAAAAAATAGTGCAATAAAATTTGCAGCACAAAAATAAAATGTAATGTTTGACAGAGCTTTGCAATTCTTACATCATTAAAGAGACTAGGAAACTAAGTAGTTGAGTATGAATATCCAGAATTTTGTTCATAATTTCATTCTCCAAATTATAACTTAAAAATGATACAAATTATCAAACTTGTTTTTTCCTACTCCTTTCTCTATATTGAAAGGACACTCTTATTAACAATGAAATGAACTGAGCTTTCCCTTCTTTGAAAGTAAAAATATACAAAGTCCAATCTAGTTAGTAGATATATAGGAGAAGATAATTTTACTTTTAATTGAGGCAATTAAATTTGTTTTTAATTTTTAAGCAGAAAATTCTGAATGTGGCTATTGAATATATAAAGTCATTTTATGAAAAGACATGACAGTCAACAAAGTTAATAGGCAAGCCAAGGAACCTAATATTTCAACAAAGTAGACATGCAGTACTCCACAAAATCTTTTATATAAACCTTCATGTTTCATAAAAATATTGCCTTTTTTGAATTTGATTAATAATTTACTTCTTTCTTTGAGTATTATTTTTTAAAAGTTGGTTATATTTTCAGGTGCCATACCTTTAAAATATCCAAAAGTACATCTGATGATTAGTAAACACATACTTGAAAATTTAATAATTGGAATCTTCCCAACACAGTAGCCATTGTTTACATGTGGCTACCAAGAACTTAACTAAGACTAGCATGATTGAAGAGCTGATTTTTAAATTTTAATGTTAAAAAATGTTAAATATATTTGAAACAACTTTATCAACTGTAAATTTTATGATATAAATACAGATAAAGTATTTCTGATGAAAATTAAACCTCTGAATTGAGATTTAAGTATAATACACTGGATTTCAAAGACTTAGTATAAAAAATAATGGAAAAAAACCAGAAAAAGTATTGTTTACATATTGGATTAATATCTTGCATACATTGGGTTAAAAAATTACATTAGTAAAAATTTTAAAATTCACCTGTTTTAATATTTTTTAATGTGGCTACTTGAAAAAATTAAATTACATACATATCTCACATTGTGTTTCAATGGAACAGCACTGATCTACAGAGTACATAGCAATTAAAACTTAATTTTTGCAGTTTATGAAGTCTGTGGCCAATTATCACTACGTGTATTTTTGAGCATATTCATTTTGTATAACCATAACTAATCTAATTAGGGAATAAGTTTCCTCTTACTTGTGAGGCCATTTTAACTTTTAGTGAGTTTTCACAGCCCCACATTAGGCTATTTTTTTTTAAATGCAAATCTGAGTTTTTAAATTAAAGGATATTTTCTGGGTCACAGTGTGTAGTTACAAAGGTTGTTGACAACATAAAGGCACCTAAATAAGTGACCCAACCTATACTTCACTCACCAAGCCATGGCCCTGGCAAGGGCCTGCATTTGTCTGGAGAATGGAGCTCCTTTCTAAGTGGTACAAAAACAGCATAAGCTAGCTAGCTCTACATGTTTGCATGAAAATGCAATATTGCAATATCATTAAATACAATGTCAGAAAATTGTTTCCTGCTAAAATAATATAGGTAGAGTGCATTGATCTTCCTAAGTGATATGCAGGAAGAATACTATCATTCTGCATTTGACAAGGGTTTATTATTTTCCCAACTTTCACATATACTCTATCAGTATTTTCATAGTAATACTAGGAGATAAGTAAAACAAGCCTTGTCCTCATTTTAAAGCCAAAAAATAATGGAATTGAATTTCCCCTTTGGATTGGTATAGAACACAGGATCACCATATCTTCTCCTTGCAAACAAAATCATAACTCATCCCTCGTGAGGCAGCCCCACAGATATAAACACTGGAACTAAAAATGAACGTAATACCTATAGGATAAGAACAGATTATAATACAAGGAAATAATGCATCTATGTTTTTGGTTTCTAAAATTCAACCAGAATTGCGATTTCTAGTAAAAAAATATTTAATCATGTTTTGTTATTAAATTATATATGACAATGTAGTGCATCCCCCACCAAAATCTAATTTATGTATTATAATTACCAGTTCTGTACAACCTATCTCAGTAAGCCTATGAAAAAAAAAAAGTTCTCCCTTGAAAATATTCCTGAAAATTAGAACGCCCTGGAGGGACAGCTTTATATTAGAGTCAATTAAAATCAATTCTTAGTTAAAAATAAACACTGTTTTCATGCTATATGTTTTATTTAAACATAAGAAAAAACAACTTAGCTAATGCTTTTATAAATCTAGAAGGCTCTAAGGGGAATATCTTTAAGGTAATTCCTTAATATCCCTTTTGGCAGAGTATTAGTCATTTCTTATTCAATGTAGATTTCTTAAGTAGCTGACATTTATTTTGTTTCTTACCACCTGATCTTGGCACCTCAAAATCTGTTTTTCATTTGTTTTACATTTATTCATGTTTTAATGGCTCCTAGTGATTTTCAACTAGCATTTTCCTAAGGAATGAGTTTTAAGATCTTTCTATATATACAATGAATATTGTTTGTATCTATGCTGTTTTAAAAAATTTATATTTGTTAAACAGTAATGACTCATTCATATTGACTATATTCTTAACTGGTACTGATATTAACCATTGAATTGGCTTACAGTTCCCTTGAATACAGTAAATGGTATGTATATTTAATTATATGAAATATTATGCCTCTCTTGCCATGGTTTCATAAGTAGTGTATATGTTCACTGAAATTCAGCCCAGGCCTAAACCACATAGATTTTTTTAAAAGAATTTTAAATTTTATTTTTCAATTACCTTTTATATTCAGTATTATTTTGTATTAGTTTCAGGTGCACACCATAACGGTTAGACAATCATATATTTTATGAAGTGTCCCCCCTGCCCTGATATTTCAAATACCCACCTGGCACCATGCATAGTTATTACAATATTACTGACTATATTCC